GCCTTGGGCAGAGCCGCATACAATGCCCTAACTTCTTCGACGCTTGCGAAGACCACCAACTGGCTGTGATTGTCGGACTGAGAGAAGGATCCGAGACACTGCCATCAGAAGAGACGATCATTGAATGCGAGCATGTCGTTGACTATGAGTTGATGATGGTTCCCCGCAAGCCCGAACTGCATGTGCATGAGTTCCATTTCGTCGAATCGTTCTATGACGCTGACGAATGGTACGATGTAACAAAAGGGCGCACGTCCGCCCGCGAATGGGTAGTGAGAATAATGCGTCTGGCGCGATCCCCGCGTATTACGGCGGACTATTGCAAATGGCGAGCTATTGAATACTTTGTCACGAGACGTTGGCATGCAACTGCAGTGCCAGACTTGTTATGTTCTGCGCTGTTCGACTGGATCAAGACGAAGTTCACAGAATACGAGTCCTGCGCAATGCTAGAGATTCCGTTCATACTACCTGAATGGATCCATGATCGTATCAGTTTGGGACAATGGGAGGCTTTCTCGCACGCCACTGACGCGCGCAAGCTCTATGCGCTCCTGAACGCGGGGGCCTTCCTCCCGTCCAGGCAAAGGTGGGGCATGACGGTTAAGACAGATAAGAAAGCGAAGGACAAAACCCCCGCCGAGGGGGTGTGCGCTTTCCATGGAAGCGAGGTGATTCGCGAGCTGCACCAGAGCTATAGCTATGGTGCGGAGCTCTGGAATGACGGCAACATCGTGACCGTGGACTTCAAGCTCGCAACCCCGCCAGCAGCGCAAGGAGGCTTCCGCCCGATTGACACAGAAACAGGGGGGCGGAAGCAGTGCGTGTGCTGCGCGCCTGAACTCGTGGTCAAGCTGTCGCTGCGGCTGTATTTCATGACACCCTGTCAAGCTAACCAACAACAAGCATGGGTCTTTAACCCGAAACACTCGTCGCTTCGAGGTTAACTACAAGGCGCTCATCGACCCCGCTCCCGCTCCGGAGCAGACAGTTGCGCCGTGGGAAATCGAGAACGTGGTTCAAGAGCGGCGAATAGCCGAGAAGCCTATCGCACCCATCGACGAGGCGAATGTGCGGAGAGAGGTGCGGAGCAGTTTTCGATCAACAACACGAATTGCGATTGAGCTCCGAGAAATCAGGAGGAACCACCTGTCGTCTTTGGACATTGGGAGTTGGCCGCGTCGTCACTTGTACTCGACAGAACTAGTCACCGAACAGTTCGATGCGCCGATCCTTGTGGCCCATGGCCTTCAGGATATCGCCGCGCCGCTGGAAAAAGCTGGACTGCCGCGGGGACGCCCGGAGTTGAGAACGATGGGCGTGGATCAATCCACGCCGAGGATCTCGTTTCACGACTGGATGACCTTCCGATATAAGAAGAATGCGGGCCATGTCCCTGGCAGTTTGGAGCCCCATGGGCCGCCAAGGTCCAGGAGTCTTGTAAGACGGGGAGGCCGCGAGGCGATGATGATGGACGCGGCAAAGGCATGGCGCGAGTCCCAATCAGGGGGGGGGGGGCGCTCAGGCTGGGGCAACATTGGGCATGCGGGGTTCAAGCGATCGTTCACTGCGGACCGCAAGCAGCCGCGCTTTGAGAATCCCCAGGGCACGCCCCTTACTCGGCCCTAAGATCACCGCATCGGGGCACCTGACCCCCAGCCTCCGCCACTGTCACAGGACAAGCTCGCGCGGATGAGTAGTACTTGCGTAATTGCATCGCCTGCCGCATCCTTCATCGAGCAGATCTACACATGTAGAAGAGTTGGCTGCTTTATGACAGCAACGTTGGTTGTATCCCAGGATTCCAAACTATATCTTGTCCGGAGATGCAGCCGCTGCATGGCCGGGCCACATGCAGCAGTACATATGGATCGATGCCCGCCCAGGTATCGAATGTACAGCAGATGGGCAGATGCCCATGGTAAAAGGGCGGGACCTGAAATTATCGAACATGAAAAGAAAGAGTGCGAGAAATGGTGCCGGCAAGCAATCAAGGCAGTCAACCTCGACGATAGCTCCGATGAGTCCGCGTCCGATCAAGGCGACGAAATGGGGCTAGACGCTGCGGGTGTACGCGAAGAAGATCCTATCGACGATGTCGACAACGTGTCTGACAGGGTAGAGGGGCCCACGGAAGCGACAAGCCATGCTGTCGTCGCAGCCCTACAAATTGACCCCCAGACTCGCCTGTACGCTCCTGACGATGGGACGCCGTTTGGCAGGGAATACTTCCTGATAGAGGACACGTTGCCACTTCCCAAGAACAAATAGATATCGGAGGAAGATCTTATGAGGCTATTGACGCCGCAGGAGGGTCCCGACGGACTATCGCGTATTGGATTCGAACACGAGGAACTGTCCTACGAAGGCCTTCTCGACCAAGGCGAACGTGTTCCCTTGTTGGCGACGCCGGAATACAGGCGGGAGAACCTTACTGCACTATCTCCAGCAAAAGCACGTCTAATAGACGAACTCCACTATAACGGACCTGCGCTTCCCAGCCAACGGATGGGTCGAGCACTTCTCAGCGACAGGCTTTCGGCTTGCGCGGACTCCGTGGCTGATCCACCCCTGGACTACATCCGGCAACTGCTCGGGGAGGAGCGATCCAGAGTGGATAGATACCTACGAGCTCGGTACAATACGATCCAGAGCCGTAATCTGCCTGGACCAGACCATGCTCTGGTGCCCATGTATCCACACTTACGCCCCAAGCTTTATGCTACCGCGAGCGAGCCGGGTCAAGGCGAAGCCCTTCGCCTTGCCAAGCTGATCATTCACCTCCTCCGCCACAGTTCGGCCCATGTGCTGAGTTCCGGCGGCTGGATTGAGGTGGATGTGCTGATAAACGTGCTGACCGACGCTGGTTACGACCGCCCGTGGGCCAGAGTCATGTGCGTTATCGCCATGCTCCCCCCGCAGGACGTCCAAATGCTAGGGGTGGAAATGGACGCAGCCCGCGAAGGCCCTACCTCCCGTCCCATGGACTGGGATGAAAGCTTCGCCGAAGTCGCCCTCAAAGGAGTCGGTGCGTCCGAGATTGACGGGGACACTGGCTCATCTGGGGCGGAGAGCGAAGTGGAGAGGCTACGTGTAATTCCAACAACACGACCACTTCTCATCAGGGCCGTTTACGGCGACCCATCGAGAATTATTAGTCCATACCGTCGGAACGTCAGATACGACCCTAGCATGTGTGACAAACATGGGGCGCTGCTCGTACCTCTGACTGATGCCGACGTCCGACACAGCCAAGACGGGCGGGTGGCTCCCTTGCACGATGAGACGACAGGTATCCGACAGCACGGTACCGTGGCGTATACTGTTGCGTTGTCTCCGTATGCGCGCGAGATCCATGCTCTAGAGGTATCGGCACCGGAGGATGTATTCGCGCCACTCAGTTCCCGGGGAGCCAGGGAGATGGTTCAAAGAGATGACGACCGGGTCCGCTTGGAGTGCGCCACCAGCTTCCCGACCTTCCTTCATCAGGACGGTGTCTCCAAGGACTTTGTGGGACGGACCAACCGTGTGGGACGGACCAACCGATCGGTATTTGATGTACACCTATCCAGCTTTAATGGCAAGTACTTCGCCACCATGAGCTCGCGACACTTCCAAGCTCACCCACACTGGATCTTGCCGACGGGCCAAACATTCACGGAGAGTGTCCTGCAATGGGATAATAGCTGGCACATCTTCGCATTCTCTGAATCACCGGAGAACTAGCTGTCGTGGCACGTCACCTATGACCGACGCTTGACTATGGTCCAGGTCGTAAACCGGCCGGGGACTGGCTGCGTCGACCTCTTGGAGCCGAAACAGCAAATCCGGGCTGGATAGCACACGTCAACCAGATCGATGCCGCACTCTGCGCAGAAGTTCAGCAACCGCCAGGTTGGGAGGATGACGTTTGCCTCGTTTGTCATATGGGATATAAATCAAGATGTGGCATGATAGGCTGCTCAGTATGCCAGGAAGGCATCACAGATGCGGCAATGCCGATTCAAAATTGGAGACTCAGGCCAGCGGTGGACTGGAGGGCAGCGGGGTTGATTAGAGATCGAGGGAGCTCGAGTACGTATTATGTGCGCGCGGACGGCAGGTACCAGTCACGAGCCTCCGTGGTCCAGAACTCTGATCGCACTCAGGCGAAGTACCGCGAAGGCTGGAGGAAAGACACTTCCGGTGGCGCACTCGCGCGATACCACGCTGCTATTGCAGGAAAAACAGCCACACTATCCGCTGGAATATCCGTATTCGCCTGGATCCCGGCATCACCTGACGACAAGCGCCCTGCCCATGGCAACAAGGTGCGTGAGGTCGAAGCGCACAAACTGGCCCGTCGATGGGTGTCGTATCAGGTATACTTCGGCTTTCCGCCAGCAGGCAAAGGTGCCATCTGCCCGACGTGGAAGTGGTGGGCATATCTATCATGGCGAGTGGATACAACTGACTTCAGCTCGGATATGGGAGTCCTGGATTTCTTCGATTGGGACACTACAGACCCTGATGCCTGTGATCGCGCCGAACCGTCCATCGGGTGGCGCCGATGGTGTCAGGCTCATCGTGGCCGTCTCCCAGAGGGGCTTGGCCAGCTCTGGCCGTCGATACAAGAAGAAATAGAGTCCCACTGGAAGCCGAAAGAAGAGTGGACTGGCCTCGAGGAAAACGAGGACGAGGTCGAACGCGACCGAGATGATCCTTCGCGCCGTCCCGCATCGCTCCGGCCGCCATCCCGTGCCCGTGGCAGGCGGGCCCGTTCAAACAGTCGGCGACGTATCCGCTCCGCCGGCTCACCTAGGGCGTTCGGAGGCCGCGCCATGCGCAGGCGAACGGGCTCACGCGTCCCTCGCCGAGGCCAAGACACACATCAAGATGATTTGACACTTCCAATCAACCAATGCCGCGTCAAGCAGGCAGCCTATGAGCTGGTTGCGTTTTTCGATGCGGTCGAAGTGCCCCTCGAACATCATAGAGCGGATGCCTCCGCCTCGTGCGAGGAGCAGATACGCAGGATGTGGAACGAACCGCCAGAGTTTTGCGTCTACGTCCCCGATACTCGTGGCGAGAATGAAAAATGGTTGTCGCAGCAAGCTTGCAGGGTAACCATCGAATTATCAAAGACCTTCGAGTGGACATTGGTTGATGTGAACCACGCAGCCGAAAGCGCCATGCGCATCCATCTCGCTGAAGTGGACAAGTTCCGCGCGACACTTTCGCGGGGGCTCAACATCGTGAAATCACATCATGAACTACTTGAGTTGACCCACAAAGACATCTACAATAACCGGCAAGGTCTGCCGCGCATCACTACCGACGCGCCCCTCATTGAGGCGTGTATGTATGGAGTATGTTGCAATCGCGAGCGGCGGCTCTTCTTCGAGTTCAACGAGTCACGTTCAATGCGTTCAGGCATTCGGCAACCGAGCGGTGGCCGCTGCACGTTTACGAGGCCGCCGTGACTGCGTTGCATGCGCGGGCGCAGCACGGAGTGCCGCCGCCTGACTCGGACGAGGGGCGCCGCCCTTCACGCGTGCCCATGTCACGAGGGGCGCGGGCCCGCCAGCCCACGGCGACTACCGCAAGGACTGCGCGATCCGTCAGCCGCAAGCGCCCGCTCAGCCCCTCGCCTGCACCAGCGGCTAGGGAGGCGGCGCATCAAGCGGCCGCTTTCCCGCGCGCCAAGGGCGGCGCAGGCGGCGCATCGAGTGGCGCTGCCCCGCCGCCCCCTGAAGCAGCGGGAACGGGCAAGGGCAAGCGACCCCGAGAGAAAGGGGGCAGTCGTGCGGCCTCCCCACCCGCGGTCCGCTCTTGCCGCTACACGGACATCCGCCAGACTGAACGCAGTGGCGGTGCGTCGTCGTCTTCCCAGCAGATTCCCGAGATTGCTCGTCGCCCATGGCGCCGGGAGCAAAGTCGACCCCCTATGGATCGCGTCTGGAGTGCGTGGCGGGGTATTTCCAGTCGCGCCAGGGGCAAAGGGCCGGGTAAGGAAAACCGTGGCAAGGGAGACTACGGCAGCTGGTCCGACCGACGCTATGACGATCGCGACCAATGGCGCCGCGACGGCGGATGGCACTGGTGAGCAACAGACGCCTATCGCCAATGGCGTTCTGGAAGCTATACCAGTGCACGCGCGCGCTTTCGGCCAATGGCTGTATCGTGTGCTGCAACCTACAAATGGGGCGGCTTGAGGCTGTGGGAGCTTCGCCTCCCCGTGAACCTATGATACTATCGGCCCATGGCCTGATGGTTAATGCCACTTGACTGACGGGGCTGCTGGCGGCTATGAGAGCCTCGCGCCCGCGCTTACTTCAATTCGACGCCGTCGGGAACGAAGAGCCCCGATGGTAATGCGTCGGCCCTGGCCGGCGCTGCGGCCGGGCCGTCGCGGGAGGAGTCGTTGCTGCACGCTCCCTGCCGCCGTCGATGTACATATGACCGCATGCGCAGACATCGCGTTGACTGCAGCTATTTCGGTTCGGAGAGAAAAGTTCCGCGCGCGTGATCATAGTACAACATACTTTCCGTACCATACGCTTAACGGGGTACTTACGTTCCTGTTACGGCCCGCAATCTTCTTGGACCCACTAGCATGGACCCCAACATTGAGAACGACCTTACTTGACGATTTGGGCCCCGTTGGGCCTAAGTTGAGTATATATATATATATATATATATATATATATAGATATTCTCCTTTTGGGCCAAATATCTTGTGGACTCGGAGTTTCAAACATTTTATGCTCCCAGCGTTTTTAACTGTCGGGGGCCTCGCCTGGAACCCCTTCTGGTCTCTCTTGCTGTCTCTCGTGCCCTTCCTGGCGTCCTCCTGGGGCCTGCTGGGTCGTCTTGGAGACCTCCCGGGCCGCCCTTGGTGGACCGCCGTGCTCCTAATAATGGCCTCCCACGGGCTGGACGGCTTCGCGACGCCTTGGATCACCGAGCGCGTTCCATTACTCGCAAAGTGACTACTCGCAAACGGCCGAAACAAACATATGTTTGCCTTGACGTAACGTGTCGTAAATCCTCCTCGCTGGAGACAGGCCCTTTGCGAGTAGTTTCTTTGGAAGTAGTGGATCGCGTTCGTCTACTGGAGCTGGCTGGGGTGGGGATGTGGCTCACCACGGATTCCAGCCAGCAGACAAAGGGATTGAGAAGCGGCCCCTCCGTTGCGACAGCTGGATGCGGCTCGGCTCGGCTCGTCGTCGTCGTCGTCGTCGTCGTCGTCGTCGTCGTCGTCCTCGTCGTCCTCGTCGCGACGCGTCAGTTTCGACCACCGGAGGGGTCCGGTCACCGAGTTTGAGCGGATTTGCCTTCACCTCCCCCTCTTAATGGATTTTCTCTGGGCTTCGACCCCCCGTCTCCCACTCTGAACCGTTCTCTCTGAGCATATTTGCCCCCAGCTCCGACCCCCTGGGCCGCCTGCGAACGACGCTTTCTTTGGTTGTGAGGTATTTCCCACCTTGCGCGCGGGCAAGCCAATAGGGGTTGCAATCCAGCTCGAATGTGGATCGCATGTGAGGTCCGTTGTGATATAGAGTGGGCCGACGAACCAGCAGGGCTCGACTGATATGCATCAAATGTGGGCCAGAATTTCTTCCCGACTCAAGCACGAAACACGCATCAATCATCACAATATATGTATGTATGTATGTATGTATGTATGTATGTATGTATGTATGTATGTATGTATGTATGTATGTATGTATGTATGTGTGTGTGTATGTGTGTATGTATGTACGTATATATATGTATATATATATATATATATATATGTATATATATATATATATATATATATATATAGGGCCGGGGGCGGCCCGGGGCGGTGCCTGTAATCTCCATGGGGGGTGCAGGGCGCCCCCGGGAGCGTTCGAAGCGTCCCGGAGGGCCCCCGGGACCGCCAGGAACAGTTCGAGACCGCCCAAGACGGCCCGCGAGCGCTCCAAGACGCGCACAGATAGCCTCAGAAATGGCCAGGAAGGCCCGAAGACGTTCCAAGAGAGCTCCATATGAGGCCCCGAAGGCATCCCAAGAGGCCTCCCAAGAGAGCGCCGACAAGCCAAAATCGTTGAATTTTATTGTTCCCCACATCCTAAGTGGGGTTCTTGTTTTCTCTGCACACCCTCCGCGCAGGATCTCTCGTCCTCCTCCCTCTCCTCTGCTCCTCTTTGCTTCCTCCTCCGCATCATCATCACCATCACCATCACTCCCCACTCATCATCATCATCACCATCAGCATCACCATCACCATCGCACGATCACTCACCATCATCGGCATCGAACGATCATCATCATCATCATCATCATCATCATCATCATCATCATCATCATCATCACTACTCGCTGACTCACCACTTCGTCCCCATCATCATCACCACCATTTACCATCAGAATCGCACGATCACTCACCATCAGCACTCATCATCACCACCATCATCATCATCACGTCGTCATCATCACCACCACCACCATCATCATCATCATCATCATCATCATCATCATCATCATCATCATCATCATCATCATCATCATCATCATCATCATCATCATCATCATCATCATCATCATCATCATCATCATCATCATCATCATCATCATCATCATCATCATCATCATCATCATCATCATCATCATCATCATCATCATCATCATCATCATCATCATCATCATCATCATCATCATCATCATCATCATCATCATCATCATCATCATCATCATCATCAATCATATATCATCATCAAACGCCGTCGTCATCATCCCATCACCATCATCCACCAAGAGGGAGCCTCGTCTGTGAGTGAATTGTGAGGAAGTCTCAGGCGGGAGCCCCCTCCCTATGGGGCCCGCAGATCATGTTACTAATCCGAGCGGGTCATCGGATTCCTGTAACTGTCGTCACTTTTGGGCTCCTCAGGTCTGAATTTGGAGGAAGTATCAAGCGGGAGCCTCGTCTGTGAGTGAATTGCGAGGAAGTCTCAGGCGGGAGCCCCCTCCCTATGGGGCCCGCAGATCATGTTACTAATCCGAGCGGGTCATCGGATTCCTGTAACTGTCGTCACTTTTGGGCTCCTCAGGTTTGAATTTGGAGGAAGTATCAGGCGGGAGCCTCGTTTGTCAGTGAATTGCGAGCAAGTCTCAGGCGGGAGCCCCCTCCCTATGGGGCCCGCAGATCATGTTACTAATCCGAGCGGGTCATCGGATTCCTGTAACTGTCGTCACTTTTTGGGCTCCTCAGGTTTGAATTTGGAAGAAGTATCAAGCGGGACCCTCGTCTGTGAGTGAATTGTGAGGACGCGTCAGGCGGGAGCCCCCTCCCTATGGGGCCCGCAGATCATGTTACTAATCCGAGCGGGTCATCGGATTCCTGTAACTGTCGTCATTTTTGGGCTCCTCAGGTCTGAGTTTGGAGGAAGTATCAAGCGGGAGCCTCGTCTGTGAGTGAATTGTGAGGAAGTCTCAGGCGGGAGCCCCCTCCCTATGGGGCCCGCAGTTCATATTTGAATCTGAGCGGGTCATCCTCAAACCTGTAACTGTCGTCTCTTTTGGGCTCCTGAGGCTTGAATATGGAGGAATATCAAGCGGGAGCCTCGTCTGTGAGTGAATTGTGAGGAAGTGTCAGGCAGCCCAACGGAACCACCGAGGGGATTTGAGAGCCTTTTTGTGGGGATGTCTCAGGCGGTTTGCTTGTTTCCGGGCTCAACATCCTTCGCTTGGACAGCAGATTGTGAGGATGTCTCAGGCGGGGCGCTGGTTTCAGCACCCCTAAGGGGAGCCGCCAGGGGTGGTTGCACGGGCTCGTTCGCGGCCATTTTGTGGGGATGTCTCAGGCGGTTTGCTTGTTTCTGGGCTCAACATCCTTCGCTTGGAGAGCAGATTGTGACGATGTCTCAAGCGGGGCGCTGGTTGCAGCACCCCTATGGGGAGCCGCCAGGGGTGGTTGCACGGGCACGTTCGCGGCCATATTGTGGGGATGTCTCAGGCGGTTCGCTTGTTTCTGGGCTCAACAGGGAGGGAAATGACAGGAACGAGGATGAGGAGGAGGAACAGGAGGAGGAGGAGGAGGCGGGGGATCGTGAGGAAGGGCATGGGGGTGCGGAGGGGGAGGGGGAGCAGGAGGATGAGGAGGAGGAGCAGGAGCAGGAGAAGGGAGGGGGCGGAGGAACAGGAGGAGGAGGAGGAGGAGGAGGAGGAGGAGGAGGGCGCTTTTTGAGCCGGGTACCGACCTCTGGTGACCGCAGCGCGCGAGGAGAGACACGCCTGGGCAAACTTGCACGACGAACGCCTCCAGG